ACCCCACAACTCTGCCAAGAACACCACTCTGAACTGCGCAGATGTGTGCGCACGTGCTTTTATGCATGCATGCATATCTGCATTCCTACCTATTAACATTACCCACTACGTTCATTGCAGCTCTCCCACCAACTACCTACAATCAAATCCAGCAGCTAAGAAGCAGTTTCAAGTAGATTACGCTCTTGTAATGTGAACCAAGTACCTCGGTGAGAAAGACATGAGAACCCACCGAAGGGCATTCCACTTGCACAGAAGAGAGATGGAGGGACAGGTTGTGATTCCCCAGCTGCAGTCAAAGCTGTATCAGGTACAACTACGAGACTTTGGGAAAGAAGCTTCATTAGTTCCACTGTTAAGAGCACTCACTTTTTTTAAAAAAAAAGCAATCACTTCAGTACATTATTAAAAAAAAAAAGTCCTTAAAAGGCCTCATGTTTTACAACTGCTTAGGATTCACATCTACTAACCTGAGTAATGTCAGTACGTTGGTTTCAGGACTGCTCTAGCACTTAGCACAACTAAAAACCTGGCTCTCTTGAGCTTACTTAAAGTGGGTTTGGCTACCTATAGAATTTTTTTTTACTTTGTCCTCAAAAAGTAAGGATTCTGATCCTTTCTGGGTGCATTTTTTCCCCTATGCTTTTGAAAGGATCCTAAAGATCAACTCTTCAAAGGTACTTCTGCTGTCTAAAAGCATGTGGGTATTAGACAGAGACCTAACATTTTCTGAGCAGCAGTTTACTGATTTGAAACTGGATATAGAATGTTACTGTAATGCAGATTAGTTTTCAATTATTATCCCTGTGCTTCTTTTCAGTTTATCTTTTCCTGCTTTGTTTTTAAAAATGCTGTTTTTCTTTTTCTTGCTATCAGACTAAGATTGAAAGTACAGCTTTTGCAAGAGTTATTTATGTAGCTGTGTAAGACCACAGCCTATAAGAATGCTGTGCAGTCTGTGATACCCTGTGTGTTTCATGTGAGAAATTACTGAAAAGAGAATCAAAATAAGTGTATTCAAGTACAGATGTTAACTAGAAATCTAGAAGAGGATTACACTCTTCACAAAAATGGATATAGTAAGTTCCCAGGATAAATAAAAACCTTAATGACTTTGTGTTTTGGTTATATATGGTAAAAAGTAATAAGCAGAAGGTAAAGGATATATTCCCTTCGAAAAGGGTACACTCCTTCTTAAAGTACAGTAGAAATCCAAACCATAGAAAACAGCCTCTAAAAGGTAATGATTTTCTTACTTATAGCTGACATGTCCCACTATCTCACAAGCCGCTGGTCAGAAGCAGATTCCAGATGCATTTTTCAGCATAAGGCAAAGCCGAATTTGAAAAGCAGGACCTTTGCAGTCTTCAAACAAAGCACAACAAGACAAAAACAAACCACAACAGATATCCCAGGAGGTTACCTGCAGAGTCTCAAAAGTTCTGTGAAGAGTCTGCTCTGTTTGTTCAAACGTCCTCTGGGTCATCTCCCTGTGGGTTTCTTTTATAACTGCTGTCTTTCAAGTACAAATGTGATAGGTACTTCAGAAATGATGGCAGATGATAAGTTAGACAAGCATGCATTGAAAAAGGGAACTACAGATTTAACCACAGGATGGAAGGCTCCATACAAGCACACAGTTTAGCCCAGAAATGGTTCTACTTTATTTATTGAGGGTTAATTCTATACCATAGTCTGATAATTCTCTAATAACTTTTCCAAGAGCAGAAATGTTTAATGACTGACTGCAAAGAAATAACCTATAGCCAGCTACCGACAGACCACTGCTGATACCCCAATTTATTCTTCCCCTAGAAAATCAAATCCAAA